CAGAGGGTAAGGGCAGAGGCAGAAGCAGGCTCCCCACTAAGCAGGGAGCCCAACGTGGGACTTGATCTCAGAACCCTGGGACCATGACCTGAGCCGAAGGCAGATGCTTAACTGACTGAGCCACCCAGGCATCTATCCTCCTTTTTTTTAGGTAAGCTCTATGCCCAACATGGGGCTTGAACTCATGACCTTGAGATCAAGTCACATACTCCACTGACTGAGCCAGCCAGGCCTTCCTCTAGTACATCACGTTAGTCCTTACAGCTACCCTGTGGGGCAGTGTGGTCACCTCACTTACAAGTGAGCCAGTGGGCAGGTGGACGGATGGAGACTCGGCTGGCCCCCTGTCACACGCCTATGCTCAGAAGGAGATGCCTCCTGGCTCTTAAGGTCACGCTGGGGTCTTGCTGGGGGACATGGAGTGGGCTGGAAGACAGGGCCTGGACAAGGCCTGGGTGTGGCTACGGAGGGGTGGGGAAGCCAGGACTAGCGGATGGGGTCTCTGGCCAGCATGAGACCCTGTGTCATGACAAGGGAGCACCTTTGTTTTTTGGGTTTTTTTTTTGTTTTTTAAAGATTTTATTTATTTATCTGAGAGAGAGAATGGGAGACAGAGAGCATGAGAGGGGGAGGATCAGAGGGAGAAGCAGACTCCCTGCTGAGCAGGGAGCCCGATGTGGGACTCGATCCCGGGACTCCAGGATCATGACCTGAGCCGAAGGCAGCCGCTTAACCAACTGAGCCACCCAGGGGCCCCAGGGAGCACCTTTGTATGACAGTTATGTAACCCACTTTGGTAATAGTAATATCACATGTATGTAATACAAAATTCTGAAAGTATAAAACAACATATAGGACCAAGTTAGGGTCCCCCACCACCCACTTTTCCTCCCCAGAGGTGCCCTCTGAGACCGTTTCTTGTGTATCTTTCCAGAGCTGGTCTGGATGATAGCACTTTGACCATAACACCAGCAAACAATCAGCAGGCCCCATGACACCACCTGGCAGAAAGCTCTAGATACATGGTTGTCTTTTTTTAATCTCCATACCAGCCCTTGCTGGATGTGTATCAAGCTCTCCGTTTTAAGTCAGAGTAAACTGAAGCACTGGCAAGTTGTCACTCACCCAAGGCTGCTCAAACGTAAGGATTCCCTGACAGCACTGTACAGATTAGAATACTGAGGCACAGAGAGGTTATGTACCCAGCCCCCAGGTAACCCGGTGAGCAGGTTGAGGAGCCAGGACCTGAGTCCAGCGGTCTCACTCCAGAACCCACACCCCCTGACCACTGCACTGTACCGGGAGAAACGACCCCAACTCTGGAGTCTGCCAGACCCAGGAGTGATGCCCTTTGCTGCCTAGCCTCGTGGCCTTGGGCAAGTCACTCTTCCCTGCAGTCTGGCCCCACGGAGGACAGAGAGCAGGAGGCCTGCCTCTCAGATGGCTTGGGGAGCAGTGCGAGCAGTGGGAGAGCTCTGGACACTGCTCCTCCCCCTCTCCAGTGGCCCTTCCCATGATGGGCAGGAGGAAGGGCACAGCTGGGTGGCTGTTTCAGGGTGCCGGGAGCTCAGGTGGGGCCTTCCTTCCCTGCAGCTGTGCAGACAGAGCTGGGGGCCTGCCCATGAGAGAGAGACTCTCCCCTACCTCCCAGCACACAGCCACACTGCTGCCCAGGAATTCTGGGGAGTCAGGAGAGGGGAGGGGAAAGGGGTTTCCAAAAGGTTCGTGTGATGTCTCCTCCTGCCCCCGCCAACAGGCTGAGTGCCAGCACCCTTCAAGGTGAGTGGGGGGCTGGAGCAGGATGCAGGGGAGGAGGCTACAGCCAGGAGTGGGCAACAGTGACACAAAGATAAGGGGCTTAGCTCAGGGGCACCTGGGTGGCTCAGTCGTTAAGCGTCTGCCTTCGGCTCAGGTCATGATCCCAGGGTCCTGGGATTGAGCCCCGCATCAGGCTCCCTGCTCAGCGGGAAGCCTGCTTCTCCCTCTCCCACTCCCCTTGCTTGTGTTCCCTCTCTCGCTGTCTCTCTGTCAAATAAATAAAATCTTTTAAAAAGCGGGGGTGCTTAGCTCAGGTGCCAGCTTAGGCTGGGTTCCTGGGGGTCTTCATGCTGACAGGGTCACCTCAGGCTGGTGGCTGGCCTTCAGCTTGGCAGGCTCAGAAAACTGATTTATCAACCTGCCTGCCCCCCAGGGATGATCAGATTGGTGGGGGCTAAAATAACCAGATTCCACTATGTGGGCCAGACCCTTAGGGGCCAGACTATATCAGTTTCCCCTCCGGTTCCCTTCCTCACACCCCAGGCCCTGAGAACCTGGGTTAGTAATGAGAAGGGGGCTCTGGGATGGAGGCATGGACCAGGGTCTTGGAGCAATGCCAGCCAGGGATACATCCCAGCAGAACGGCACCGTGGAGTGGGGAGTGCTGGGACCATGGAGGCAAAACCAGGCTGGGGGTGACTCCCAGCTCTGCTGTGTCCCTGGGTATGTTACCTCACCACTGCGAGCCTCAGTTTCCCCATCTATAAAATGGGGCTGTTATCAGAACTGAGATCTCATGGTAAAGATAGAGCTTCTGACACAATGCACAATCTGTAGTAGGTGCTCAGTAAACGTCACTCTCCTCCACATACTCGCTGAGCAATCTCATTTTCCAAAACCTATAGGGAGACAAAGTTTGGCGCTTGTCCTGTGTTCACACAGCCGTCTGGGATATGTACTTTGGTTGCCAAATGTTAGACTTGCTGGAACATTTACAGAGAGATGGAAGAGATGATTTGCAAGTGGTGCTGTCCCTGCTAGTGGGGCCTGGTGGTCACCAGGGCGTCCCGCATAGGTGCCAGGAGACTCTGGAGCCTGAAACACCTCTCCCTTCCTGAGGCAGGGCTTGTCCAACCCCCAGAGGCTCTTTTTGGCAACTCCTTTTTCTAGAAGGCTCCTGGAAGATGCCACCGTCTGTCCTGATAATGTCTGGGCGTTGCGTGTGGTCTGTAAGAGCCGAGGCTGCTGTAGCAAGTGGAAGGGAGCTGGGTCCGTCTTTGCTGGGTGTCCCCAAGGGGCCTTCACACTCCGATCCTCCCGGACCAGGGAGCAGGACTGAGAGCATATGGCTGGGCGGCGCTCTCCTGCGGGCCAGCGCCATCGTGCTTGAAAACCCGGAAGGGGCTTCTCAAGCGCAGGGATGGTGATCTTTAGAAAACCTTCTGTCTTTTCTGTGAGGTGGAAACTGTGAGCTAGAAATGACCTTGACATCAGTGTTTTTCCAGGAAGATGCTAAATTGATATTGGGCAGAAAAGGACATTCGTGGTCAAATAAATGTGGGAAAACACCAACATGAACATCTGCTGGGTTTCCTCACCGCAGGGCATCTCGGGTCCATCCGTGTGCGAGGCTGAAGGGCAATGGCAGCCAGGCCTGTTTGACGGGGAGGTGCCTTTCAATTATCTTTTCAGAAAGCATCTTGTGAGTTTATTTTATTTATTTATTTTTTAAAGATTTTACTTATTTATTTGACATAGAGAGAGAGAGAACAAGTAGGCAGAGAGGCAGGCAGAGGGAGAGGGAGAAGCAGGCTGCCCGCGGAGCAGGGAGCCTGATGTGGGACTCGATCCAGGACCCTGGGACCATGACCTGAGCCGAAGGCAGCTGCTTAACTGGCTGAGCCGCCCAGGCACCCCAACATCTCGTGAGTTTAGAGGGCTGTGGAACTCACTTTGGGAAATGCCAAAATGGTTGAAAGCCTCACCCTCCTCCACATAAGAAAACTAGAGGAACCTTGGGGACCCTGGAGGACACAAAGGGGATATGGGGGCCAAATAAGTTGGAAGGACGTGGAGGATGCTCTAACCTTTATCTTATCTATCTATGTATCTATCTATGTATCTATCTATGTATCTATCTATCTATCTATCTATCTACCTACCTATCTATCTAGTAGACTCCACACCAGCATGGAGCCCAACGTGGGGCTTGAACTCACGACCCTGAGACCAAGACCTGAGCTGAGGTCTAGAGTCGGACACTTAACTGACAGGCACCCCTCTAACCTTTATTTTATTTTTTTTTTATATTTT